GGAGTTACCTCCATTACACAGTTAGTTGTTTTGCGCCCTCTTTTTCTGTAAACAAGTAAACAACCTTAATTTGCGCCAATTCCGTCGATGATACATCCCTTAAATTTAGTGCTATAATATCCAACTTGATGTCCTCCCTTGTCATGTGGCAAGGGACACCATGTATTAGAACCCGCGGATTAATCTTGCTTTCTTGCGCCAATGTGAGACCAGCTCTCTCCAAAACCCACGAATCCTTAATCTTGTCAAGGTCCACTGAGTGCGCCTCAATTCGAACTCCATTATTCCTTGTAGCCGGTATCCGTTTAACTTTAAGATTAAACTCCGATGGCTTCAAGATACGTTGCACCGTATTTCTTGTATCGCTTGACGATGATATTTCTGTTTTTTCTGCACTAGGAGTAATAATTAAATTTGTGGACTTCGAAATATTTAGAGTATGCTCTCGCGCCATACGTATTTTGGAAGGATCAGAAACCACTACACTCGCATAGCTACGCTTATTTGCACTCTGAGACAGAGACCCACGAGATACAGAGCCGTTATCACAATTTTTGCAATTTATACAATAATCAGTGGTGCGTGATAACAAAGAGTCTAACTTCTTAGACACAGTATTACTAACAAAGTTCTTCACCTCACTAGACAAGGAGGGTGCCGATTTTTTACTCTCCAATAATAATAAGTACCCAGCAGAGAGCTCGAGGAAAGCCTCCTTGCACTCTTTGAATGCAAGTTCAATCTGAGTTCTTCTATCCAACGTATCTTTACCACTTAGCAATAATTTAGATACATTATCGTTGTGTTCTTTTACCATACTACGCAATTCTAAGACCCTGGACGTATTAAACGTGGGCAATCCGTCATTTACGGTGGCACATTCAACAAAGTCGTCTTCAATGATGTTATTATCCGACGCTTCTCCATTTCGCGCCTCACCATGCCTCTCGGCATTCCACCCCGACATCTTACGGCCGCCAGTGTTACCCGACTGTCAGGAGGAGCCAATCAGCTCGTCGCACGGTCGCGTGATGCCGCACGATGACAATCGAAAAAATCCGGATTCCAACTAAAACGTGATGCAGGCTGGAGTCGAAAAAATCCATTTACCACATTGCAGGACTCATCCCAGGCCAAGACGATTTCACAAAATGAGCAGAGTTTGCCCCAAAAATGCCAGGCACTGAAAAAGAACCGCCCCACAGGGCAGCAGCGGCAGAAATCAAGTCACAAATACAGAGCGAAGTTAAGCACGTCTGTCGATACTCACGGCACGGCAGAGAGAGAGAGAGAGAGAGAGAGAGAGAGAGAGAGGGAGAGAGAGCGAGAATTCTTCACATAAAATTATAATTGCAAACGCAAATGTGAGAAGATATTATTATATTTATCATGATTGTTTAAAAAATTACAAAAATTACTTACGATATCACTCAAATTTATTGGATCGGCTTCACCGATTGCATCAGCATCGGAGAAGGCGTTTGCTTCCGCTTCAGGTGATCCTGAAGCGCTTATGATCATAACCAGGATTGTGGCAAAAGCCAACGATAGATATAATAGTCGCATTATGAAAACTCAAGGGTTTATTAAAACTCAAGTTCTATTTGTCTGCACGTTTCTGACTTGGTGCGTAGTGCTTATATAGAAAAAAATGCTATCTAAACATGATTTTATCTGATATAAAAGCATTAACATTGTATATTAGAATAATATTCGATATATATACATAAATTTTATATGCATAATCATAACATTTTTATCTTATGCGTGAAATATATGATCTTAAAGAAATAAAAACTTACGTAAACAAAACTGTTAAAATATTATATAAAATATGACCATATAATGCATATCTTATATTTAAAAATAGCTCAAACTTTGTAGCTATAAAAAAAGTGTTGCTACTTTCGGAAAATAAAATCATGTCATGTTATCACATTCTTAATATAAAAAATGTTTAAAATGTAAATATATAAAAATCATGTCAGCTTATTCAAGCTTAGAATTGTATATGCGGCATATTGTGACAGAAATAATTCACTATGGTTTCTGATGTGTAATTGATAATAATGTAAATTGATAATTCA